ACAAGTGGTAAACATCTCACTTTATTCATCATCTTAAAAATTTTATATACCATGTCCATGTTTCATATATTTTGACCCATTCTTAATTGTCCTTCTATTGTCATATTCAGTCAATTCGCAACTCAGTTTAATTATCATGTATAAAAGTGGATCACAAACTTCTGTTTTACAACTTCCCCATATCAGTTTCATATTTAACTGTTCTGACCCCCCCTTGACGGCTCGTTAAAAACGCAGGCAGACAAACTTAAAAGGACTTCTGTCTTTATCAGTTTTCAGTTCAAACTGGCTTCGAGCCCAGAAAATAACATAAACACAAAACTCCGATAAGAATTCAAAACAAAAGCTCTTACAAACAATATGCACTTCTTCCGAAGTCTTCACGGATCAGTTTACAAGAAACACCAAAGGACTTGTCCAAGTGTAACAGGCATAAATCACGATTAGTAATCAAACAATATTTTACCAAACACGGAACACATGAAGGAACGTTGACTCCAGCGACTGGGGCGTGGCAGCATCCATCCTTTTATCTCCAAACTTGCCTCAACCCCCCCCCAGCTGCATAATGAATCTTGATCCCGAAAGAACTCTCAGCAAAACTGCTGAGTCACAACATTTAACCATATTCCATATATTTTAACCTTTATTTAGTTATCTTTCCATTATCATATTCAACCAGTTAGCAACTCCTTTTTATTGTCATATTTAGGAATAAGGCCCTTATCTTAGCTTTATATTTTCCCATGTAACAGTTTCTAGTTGTCTGATTTTTTCCTAGTAAGTCTTTTGTCCCACTTTTATGTTCCTGTCTTCTCCCTTTTATTTGTTTCGACATATCCACTCTCTTCAATTTTCCTTATGCCACTAACATTCTCCAAAACCTTTTTTGTCTGCTTTTTATTCCCTTTTGTTGGGACACCTCCCCTTTTTACAATTTTCCCTATACCACTGCCTAGCTCTAGACCAATGGAATCTTTTGTCTGCTTTTTATTTTATAAAAAGGATCCCCGGAGTAGATTTGTCAGACAGGGTTCATGTAAGCCTCTTCAGAGCTCACGTCCCCCATGCCTGTCCAGCTGGAGAACTTCCTGTCGAATCCCACTGGAGGTTTTTAGGAAGAGATTGGACAGTCACTTGTCCAGAATGGTACAAGGTCTCCCGCTTGAGCAGGGGGTTGGACTATAAGACTTCCAAGGTACATTCCAACACTGTTATTCTATTAAAGTAAAAGGCCATTGGTGTCCACAAGATGGGGTAACAGGCGAGCAAATAGTGACACATGTTTGACAATGCCATCATACAAATATCATGAATCACTTGTCTTTGGTATCAAGATGAAAATATATAATGGCATTGGCATGATGAACATCACTGTGCATGAGCTATAGTATTGGCATCATTTCTGTCTGCTGTGGATGTCAACTAAAAAGGCAATTTGGTGATAAATTAAGAGCTAGAGTTTAATCAGGTACTTTGAGATACCCTGTTCCAGATTTCTCTCTCCACACCTAAGTTACTGTTTCTGAAATAAGCTGTCAGCTGATTAATCACTGCTCTATTTTATACTGCTTTCTGTTGTCTTCTCAATTGTCTTATACAACATAGTTGTAAGATGAGATGGAGGAGGAATAGAGAATATTAGACCTATTTTCTTGACCAAACTAAAGGAAGGTAGAAAAAAAGTGGTGGTGAAAGCAGTAATAGTAGTGGTAGTAGTAATACATATGTTGATTAATGAAGCTATGATTGTAATGATTGCCATTATTCTGGTATCAACTATGAGCACCCACATATATAGCTTTTCTCCAGGAGGATCTGCTAACTTGATCTTTCAACACTGCAATTTAGTCTATCTACTACTAGCTGTCTTCTTTTTCTTTCCACCTTTCCTAGCATTACAGACTTCTTAAGATAGCTATGCCTTTATACATGTTGAAAAAAATGATAATTTGAATGTGTCATTTTCTCTACTACTGAAAACTCTGAATTGATTTGTTCTTTGATCCATTTGTCTATATTTTTGGCTTGATATTCTCAAGAGTCTTCTCCAAAACCAAAGTTCAAAAGAGTCAATGCTCTAGATTAAAATCCTCAAAATCCAATTTCTGCTTCTATACAATGTTAAAGGGAAAACCATTGCTGCACAATTCTGATCTTTGTTGGCATAAATACATCACAGCATCTGAATATTTTTTCCAAGGTCTTCATCTCTATTTTGTAAAAATATATCCTACTGCTATGTATTTCTTGACTGTTACTATTGCTATCTGAATCTAAAAAGCAGAAGCTGTTTTCCACTTCAGTACATTTGTTGTCAATTCTCCGGCTGGAGGTTGAAGCTATTGTAAAAACTTTGCTTTTCTTTGTATTTGATTAACATCATTTACACACCCATTATCCCCCAATATATGTTATAGGTGGATTAAAGTGTGAGGAAATGAGAAAAGCTTAATCCAACCTCTAGTCTTCTGAGTTAAAAAGATAGAAAAATTTATCACAATAATTATTAATAAATGAAAAGAAGATTGAGAGCCCACAGTGGGAAAGAATGAAGGCCTCAAATCATCCCTTCTTGAAACTTGATTCTTCACTCTTTCATGTCCCATGATTTGGGAGAAAAAATTGTCTGTAATTGTTGTCATTTTCCAGCATACCATTTACCTGGTATCCACCTCATAACCCTGATATATAAGAGACATAGGGATCTCACACCTACCTTTATTATCTGGCAATTTATACAATGCCAGTTCCTGGTCATATATGATAGCGGTTCAGTTCTTCATCACATTTTTGAGAGACAAACACAATAAAAATATATTGGAAAAATAAAAAATTCCCTCCTTTAAAATTAAATATTTAAAATGTGTACATCCCATATTATAGAATATGAACTACATAATTGTCTAGATACTATAATGCAAACCTGGTATATTAAAAAAAGAAAAATATGAAATGCTCTGGTTATAACACAAAAATTGTATAAATAACCGGATCAAGATTTACCTCAGTACAGATCACAACAGGATTATAAAGTAAATAAAATTAATATCTACGTACATGCCCAACCTAAACAGAGGGTAGTGGTTTGAAGGCTGAATTTACATTCAATTTACCATATTTTTCGGAGTATAAGACGCACTGGAGTATAAGATGCAGCAAGGTTTTGAAGAGGAAATTTTTTTTAAAAAATTTTTTTTTGCACTCTGCAAACCTCCCCAAAACGGCCCATTCCCCCCCCCCCACAAAAAGGCAAGAATAGCCTTTGGGAGCTTGTAGAGTGCTCCTGGGGGCTGGGGTTAAAATTGAGGGGGAAAATGTGCCATTTTTTGCTCAATTCTGCCCTCCCCAGCCCCCAGGAGCTCTCTAAAAGCTTCCTAGAGGATCTGCACCGCCATTTTGGTGAAGGGGCAGGGTTTTGGGAGGCAAAAAATGCTGTATTCAGTGTATAAGACGTACCCACCTTTTCAGCCTCTTTTTTTAGGGAAAAAGGTGCGACTTATACTCTGAAAAATACAGTACCCCCCTAGACAGAGAAATAAAGAACATTTAGACTTTGAGGCTTGACTTAGAGCCACACCAAAAAAAAACCTAATTATTTAGAATATTTTACCTGGTGAATTTTTTTTTTTGGAAACAAACCATTCCCCTACTGAAATTATATAGACTTTTAGAACATTTTCAAAATTCAAAATAATTTTAATCATAATTTTCTCACCTTTGGTTAACAGTTGATGGATGCAGTGTATCCAACTTATTTACAATGAATATTAGATACAGGTAGTCCTCGACTTACAACCATTCGTTTAGTGACCATTTGAAGTTACAACAGCACTGAAAAAAGTGACTTATGACCATTTTTCATGTTGCAGCATTCCCATGTACATGTGATCAAAATTCAGATGCTTAGCAACCGGTTCATATTTCTGATGGTCATGTGATTCACTTTTGCAACCTTCTGACAAACAAAGTCACTGGGCAAGCCAGATTTACTTAACAACGATGTTGCTAACTTAAGAACTACAGTGAGACAAACTCACTTAACAACTGTATTATTTAGTAACAGAAATTTCAAGCTCAATTGTGGCTGTAAGTTGAGAACTACCTAGAGATCTTATAATACAACAAGGAATATGGTTTGTAGATGTTGCCCTGTGAGGAGGCGTGGCAAATAAATTTAATAAATAAAATCTGAACATTAATGTACCAAAAACCCCTAGTTTTGTTTGATAAAAGAAATAGTGAATGAATACAAATTATACATAATAATGAAACTAAAGCTGATAGATTAGTGTGCCTTGGCAGAATGTGTTTCCAAAAAATGAAAATTGAATGATATTAAGCTATGCAAATGCTGGGAGAAAAGTGATGGATAATATTGATGTATGATTTTTTTTGCTGAAAAAGGCAAAAATGATTCCATATAAGAATGTGTTTCCGTCCATCTGTATATGTATGCAACCTACAAATAAAATTGTATATAAATGCAGTAAAAGGAAGATATGTTTGCCAGGCAAAAAAGATAAGATGAACAGTATAAATTAGAGTTAGCTGTATTTCATTTTCTTTCTCATATAGGTAAAGTTGTCTTCTGCTTGTGCCTGCTGCAAAAAAGTTGGAGATTGAAGAATTTGTTCAGATGAAAATAGTAATGGAATAGGAGGCAAAAAGAAAAAAAGCTTGATAGCTCCAAGATGAACATAAAGGTTTACCATCTTATAGGTTAGGCCAATTAAGTATTTGATTGCAGAAAATAACTTGTTTCTTGCAAATCAGATCTTATTGAAATAATAAAATATAACATTGTAATATCATGAAACTAAATCCCTCCATTTTGATTCAGGCAAATTAGGAGCAGTAGCTAATAATATTCAGAAAACTGGATCAAACCTGAGACCTCAGGTAGCTATATACATATTAGAAAACAGAATGCATGTAACACAGTTTCAAGGAAATTAGAGCAACAATATTGTCATCTTTAGTTTAAATAAAATACTAACCTGCTCCAGTGTCTGAATTTTTTTGTCTTTAACTTGCAAAATCTCTAAAACCTTCCTGTCCTTGAGTTCAGCCTTCTGCTTTTCTCTAAAAACAAAAATATGTTGACACTTATTAGTCATAATTTGCTGCTAATCATTTGAATTTTTCATGTCCCAATAATGAATGTCATTTCAGAGCATGGAAAATTAAATTATTTGTGCCTGACAGCCTTGCAGAATTAATCATGGAACATATGGCAAGTGACAGCAAATTTTATCCGCAAACAATGAAGACAACTTTATTCTAAATGATGTAGTGTTTATGAAAGCAAAACTAGATATGCTTACTTACAAGATATGTGGCATATCTTCCAGATAAAGTATTTCTAAAGATCCTTTCCCTTCCTGCTTTTACATTACTGATATCAAAAGAATCCTATTTTCATGTTGGCAATATAGTAAGAGTAGCATATTAACGAACATCATTATTTTCCCTTTGGTATACTGAAAAGATATACTATATTAAAAAGATCAACAACTGTTTAGAAACTGGGTAGGGAAATTTTCTTCCCAAATGATTCTTACTCTGTATAACCTCAATCAAGTTCCAGATGTGGCAAAAATAAAAACCAATGTGCCATAACGTATACTAAAATAAATAAATAAATAAATACAGGAGTAGAAAGGAAAAACAGTGCTAATTACAAAGCAACATTTATCAGGTTTGCTACATTTATTGTTCCATTCCTGCATAAATCAGAAAATTCAGCATTAATAACATTATACAATTGTATACTGCTGGATTTTTGCTTTAATGATTATCTTGTTTGCATACAATATCTGGGATATAATGTTTTCTAAATACATTTATTCGTACTCCACCAACTTCTGCTTGTCTAATTGCATATAAAATCATCACTTCTTATCTAGGAAAAAAAGCTGTGATAACCAGGAAACCCTGTGAAAATGGGTATTGGTAACAAATACAAGTAATTGCATCTGAGAACTGGAAAACAGTCTCTTATAATGTGATTACACAAATCTTCCCCAATCAACCAAAAACTACAAAAATCATACTGAAAGTGTAAAAACCCAAAACAATTTGTTTGTTATAAAGTTATAAAACACAGGAAACCAACTTGTGATTTCTAGATGTTACTGAAAAACAATGCCAAGCATGTCTATTTATTGGCCACATAACTGGAATTCGACTTTTGAATGATTACAGATTGCTACAAAATTTGGACTTCAATATGTATAAATATTACGTGTGTGTGCGTGTGCGCGCATGTGTCTGTGTGTAAAAATTTCCCTTCTCACCTTTATAGGTGGTATGCGCCTTCTTCAATCTCAGGTCCTGTACCAGACACCTGGAAGTTTGAGGGTTCTGCTCAGTATCTTAGCAGTTCATAGCACTGCACTCTTCTGGGTAGATAGCTATGATGTTCCTAGGATATGTTTGAGTCACTGTTGCAACCTCGGAATCACAGTCCCACCACTGGGACCACTTTGGCCTTTTTTTTCCTCAGGCTCTCTAGTTGCTCCTTCAGGCCCTGGTACTTCTTCTCATACTCCTTATGTTGTGGTCATCACTTGGTATCAGTAACTCTTATCAGCACCACTATCTTCTGTTCCTTGTCTACTAAGACAATGTCTGGTTCATTCACCAGTATCTGCCTGTCTATCTGAATTTTGAAGTACCATACGATCTCCTATCTAGACTTGGGAAGATTTAGCCATACACTGTGCAGATGTTCCTATACAAAATGCCAGCCTATTTGGTTATGCCGCTTAGTGTATGCTATTCCTGCCTGCATATTATACTCTGCCACTATATGTAGGACTGACTCTGAGAGCTCTAGGGACAGTCTGACTTTGGGGGCAGTCTAGATCTTAGGTGAACTCCTGCTTTTATGACTCTGGTGCTTAGTGACTTTTTGTGCTGTGCCTCAATGCTGTCTTTTATCCAGTGTTTTCAAGTCACTAGTAAGTTTTCCCAAAATTGGGTTATATGGGAATGGTGCATTGCATGCAGGGTCTTGTGTTGCCACGACACTTCCTCTGCTCAATCTTCCTCTCATGTATATTGTTGCCTTAAGACATTCTCTCTGCAGCTCATCTACGGATGTCATGTTACTAAAGTACTCCTGAATAAGCTGAGTTTCATCCAGGACTTGATGCTCACCGAATCCTGCCCATTGTCTTTTCGGCTTGTGTGCAAACTTGGATAGAAAATTCTGTACATTGTGAAGAGTTTCTGAATCTTCACATTGGCAGCCTACAAGTCCTCCTTTGGCAGCTGACTGTGCTATCTGGGTATTTGATGACTTTAGCCAGCTCACTGTACTGTCAAGGTATCTGGTGACTTGCCTCGTCATCAGGGTTCTCATTTGATTATCCCCATGGTTCCCCATGTGATTATCAAACTACTTATAGCCAGTCTATATGTATGTTATGGGCCTTTTGATAGTTCCATTCATGAGTCCTAGATACCTTCCCACTCTTGAGTATCATTTGGACACATGTCTCCATGCCCTCAGTGTAAACCCATGTCAGGTGGATCAGCAAGTCAATGTCTTGCTCACTTTTAGCATACAGCTTGATGTCATCCATGTACAGAAGGTGGCTGATGGTAGTTCTACTCTTGAACTACCTATCTATATCCAGTCCTACCTGGCTAAGGGGTTCAGGATAGCAGCACGCACCATATTGGTGTATGCCACATTTGATGGCCACTTGTGTGAACTGTGCTGAGTTGACTCCTAGTGTTGTCTTCCACAATCCCACTGAGTTCCTGAGGAACTTCCCAGGGAGATATGCTATGTTTGTCTAATTAAATTCCAAAGCACTTTCACAATATATTTTTTTCAAAATAACTATTCCCTTTATCCGTTTTAAACTTTTTTTCCCATCAACTCACTGTTTTTCCAAAAATTATTAAGTCTTTAAAATATTTTTTTTCTTTATAGTCCTTTATAATCCAGAAAAAAATACTAATTCACAAATTAAATTTTTATTCTACTGCTCAGAAAGACAGCTCTTTCATTATAAATTAATTACTTATGAAGTGGTGAAGGAAAGAGACTCATGCAAATGCTACATCCATAAAGCCTGCATTTTGGTTACGAGTTTGATTTGAATCATTTGACTTCATGGTGAAGTGAACTAGAAGTTATTCTTGTAACTACTCTCTGGAATCAAAAGACACAGAGCCTAGAGCCTGGAGTATTACTAAGCCTCCCTCCCACCCCCCAAAAAAGACTGATCCAGGGACTCAATCTCTGCAGGTTTCTTTTTATTTTCAAGCTCCATTTTGCACGTATACCCATGATACAGGGAGATGAAACAAAAAAGAGATCAGTGTGGGGAAAGTTTTCTCTATCTCTCTTTCTATATCAAATATCAAGATAAGTATTCTCTAAAAAATGGATATTGTGGCTAAAAATTACAGATAAATCTGTTACAGCAAAATTTAATGCTTTAAAATCCATATAATAAGCACCTCACCATTTGTGGAAGTGAATTCCTTAATAGACAAGTCAATTTTAGTACTACCAAGAGGCTCTATTCAAGTGAGAGAAAAGAGGTATTTGCTGGCATGCCTCTAGCCCATATTTTTCCATCTTTGTAATACTGAAATGTCTAGTGTGAGTTAATCCAATTAAAGATTAAAGTTGAGTGAAAGAATGCATACTGTGTTAATATCCAAAGTACAGTAATTGTAACATGAAATGATATAATAAACAGGGTTAGATTTTCTATTAGAGTTATATATAGCATGTTTAAAACTTCCCTTACATGTTACATAATTAGAATTTTAAGAATATATTTTTTTACTTAGATTCTGTTTAACGAAGGAAGATTTATTTTGTTTTGGATGAACTCAACATAATTTTTCTTTTATATTGCAGGTAACAGACGTAAAATCCTAAATGCACACATAAAATGGAATCAGTTAACACTATAACACATAATAGCCATCTAAATCTTACCACCAAATTTGCATATAGTGAATGTGAACAAAGGCCTTTAGCATAAATTAAAATCTAGTACAGAATTTTATCAGCATCTCCTCCTGGTGGCATAGGATAAGTTCCAACACTCATTACAGGGAAGCTCCCAAAAGGGATGCAAAATAATATTGTTCTGTGCTTCAAGCTTCTAAAATACAATTGAACCCACAGCTTCATTTTAAGTTTGATAAACAGAAAAAAAGGGGGGAAAGCAGATTTAAGGCTTAGTTTTAAAAGTAAATTGCATTGTTGGAAAATTGCGCTTGATTCAATTAATATACGCTACGCATGCCTATCACACATTAAAAAGTATTTACCCAAATCAGAAAAAAATATATGCATGCACTGTCAAAGAGTTGATGATGATCAATGACTGAGACAAACTCCAGTTTAGCTAATTAGAACCACTGATGAGCAATAATGATGTGCGTTAAGAATATTTGCAGACTTCTTTAGGATGAAAAATGGAGTGAAGAGAGGCTGTCAATTTATACAAGCTTAAGCTCCAATCACTTTTCCCATAAGTACCGCCTATTTTAAATGTTTAACAAAGCTGTATTTAATCCATGGATTTTTCAGTCACTTTTCAACAGCTACTGTTACCTAAAAAAAACACAAACAAACAAATCCAAAAAATTATTCTAAATCATTAAGTAACCATTTTCTTTTGCATATGGCCCACACTATATATTATACAACATGACAGAATCATATTTTCTGGGATTTGGCCCATTTTTAATGAGTTGTCAAAAATGAAATATTAGAGACGATGAGGAAACATTTAACAATGAATGAAATGAGAAAACAGAACCTGACGATTCTAATACACCACAAATATTTTCAAAGGTATTTTGCATTCCTAACATATTATCATTCCTGTAATAAATATGCAAAACAATAGTGTTGAAAATAAATTATGAATATAAGCATAAATTGGGGTCTGTGATAAAAATCTATTACATTACTTTTTACACAAAGCAACATGAATCAAGACAAAACTTGCATTATATCAGCTTCAAATAGCCACAGTTTAATTGGTCAAAAGTAGTGATAGCAATCCAATGAGGCCTCTGTGTGGATATATCTTTTACTTTTCATAAAAATCTTGCTCTGAGAAAAGACGTTATATTTTGAACTGGTATGTAAGTTAAGGATTTAATTCTAATGAAATAAGTGCATGATATAATTTTCCTGAAACAAAAAAATCTGATCCTGAACAATCCCTAAATATAAATTGGCTAAGCCTAGAGAAGCCAAGAAGCTACCTCATGCCAAGCCAGATCAGTGGTCCATCTTTCTTATTTCTGCTGCCAACAGTAAGATTTTCAGACAAAATTTCACAGCTCTGTCTGGAGATAACAAATGCTGAGCCTGGTCCTTCTGCATTCAAAGCTAATATTTTACACTGATTATCGTAACAGGAAACATCACTAATATAATTTCATCTGTATGAGAATATAAAAGAATCAGATCTAGCATTTCATTACAGGTCAATGAAGGGGGAGGAGTTTGTCAAGAAGAAATCAAAAGCAGAGGTGTTTGCAGATTCTGACATATTCCAGGGGTCCTGGAATATCACCATGCATGTACAAGAGGTGAGGGATTGTATAGAAGCATCACTAGTTTTTCAAATGAAAAAACTCCTTTCTTTTTTGTGTATGGTTTTGACAGATTTGTTAACCAAGTAACTGATGTTTATAAAGCAATGCATTTGAGACAAACGTTAATTATTTATATTTCTATCCCAAAGAAACAGGAAAATTAGTAGGAACAGGAGACAAATAAGCTCTTAAAAACTTTTGATATTTTGAATATACTCTTTTAGAAGAAGCAAGGGTAAAATATAGACGCCTATAAACTACTATAGTGTAAAAAATACTCTGTTGTCTGGAAGACCGGTTATCGAGGGATATTCTCTTGCAACCCCCCCCCCTTTTCCCCCTACACATACAAACAGATCTGTGTGCTCACAACAGCATTTTTCACTTCAATGACATAATTACAGATTTTAAATTTATTAATGTAAGAGAAGTGCACACTTCATGAATGCCAAAGATTGACAGTTGGCTTACCTGAATGGTCGTTCTCTAGGCGCTGCGGAAGTGTCCAAGCATGGGTTAACTTCAGCTTGCTGCCCAAGGACTGAGTTCAAAGTTTGTGTAGCCACGCCTTCTGCTCCCTTTAGAGACTCAGTTTAAAAAAACGAAAGTATGAGGTCCAGAAAGATGCTGTACGGAGAAATATCTATGCCATGGAAGTGATAAGTCATGCACCCGCAGGCGACCCCAGGGAGGGGTTGGACACTCCCGCAGCGCCTAGAAATGACCATTCAGGTAAGCCAACGGTCATTCTTCTAGGTGCTGCTTGGAGTGTCCAGGCATGGGACATACCCAAGCTATGTAGTTCCAGGGTGGGAAGAAGGAATGCCCTGATTAGCTGGAGCCGCGAGGAGCCGCTGTAAAACTTTCCTTCAAAACGAAGCCTCGGCAGAGGCAAAGGAGTCCAGTCTGTAATTTCGAATGAACAGAGATGGTGATGACCAGGTAGCGGCCCTACAGATCTCGTCAATAGGCGCTTGCATGGCCCAAGCACTTGTCGTGTGCTGTTATGCAAGGAGGAATGGGTCTAGCTTGATGTTTGTAAGCTAACTTAATGCAAACACGCAGCCAACGTCCTATGGTGGAAGATACCTTCCTGCCAATGGAGGTGGGTTGGAATGATATAAAGAACGATTCTGACTTGCGAAAAGAATCTGTCCTCTTTTTGTATACCCACACAGTGCGTCGCACATCCAATTTGTGCCAGACGCGCTCTCTGGGATGTCTGGGTGTGGGCAAAAGTCAGGGAGGATGACCTCCTGTGTTCTATGGAATAAGCTGTTAATTTTCAGTAGAAAGGCCAATCGCAGAATAACTCTGTCCAAATGTATAACACAAAGGTTCTCCCAAACTGAGAGCGCTGCCAGGTCTGAAATTCTGCATGCTAAAGTGATGGCTACGAGAAAGGCGATTTTGAACAACAAATGTTGTAGGCTAATAGAGCGAATCAGTTCCAATGGTGTCGATGTTAGGGTCTGCAGTACAACTGATACGTCCCAAGTTGGGTAACAGTGCACCATAGGAAGGCGTAGGTTGGTAGCCCCCTTTAGGAAACTATGGACCCTTGGGTGTCTGCTGAGCGGTTGAGAAGCGTCTCTGGACAAAATGTTGGCCAGGGCCTCTTTCTGCCTCTGAAATGTGTTGGGGGCAAGGCCCTTGTCCAACCCATCCTGGAGGAAGTTCAGGATTTGTGGTATTGTCGCTGCTGTTGCATCAATGTGCTGGGACTGACACCAAGAGAAAAAAATATTATATCATAGATCCGCACCATAGAAGGCCTTCTGGACGCCTGGATAGTTCAAATGATCTCACCAGAGAAGTTGTCTTGCCTCAGGAAGTCCTCCTAAAGTGCCATACGGCCAATTGGAGCCATTGATGATCCGGGTGCAGAATGGCTCCTTGGCTGAGGGAGATTTGGTCCTGAATATACGTCAGTGCTTGGCCATTGACAGACTGACATAGTCGGCAAACCAGGACCTCCTTGGCCAGTGTGGGGTGACTA